ACAAACTAAAAAAACCCATTTGAAGCCCAATTTATTGCAGATGCACATTGACCTCTCTATCTTACTTAATTAATTATATTAGCGGTGGAGGGAAATTATTGCAGATCCACATTTATTCCAGTAGACCTGACCGTGGAAAATCCTAATCCCCTAAAATTTGGGAGTCGCAGCTCTGAACTAGCCAGCTTCGTTCTAGAAAGCGGCACGCAGCCCTAAAAAAACTCACATTCCTTCTCCACACGCCTCCGCCCATTCCCACGACCGTCGCCTGAGCAGCAGAGCTAAAATCCTCATCTCCTTCTCCATACCGTCTCGCTTTTCTATGTGAATGCTCCTTGATAGCGATCGTCATCGATCGTTATCGTCGTCGTCGTCGTCGTCATGTATAAAACGGCCTCATCCTCCGCTTCCGCTCTCCTCAGAGCGAGACTTTTCCATTCCTCTCTCAGGACTACTCTCACTTCGTCGTCTCCTCTTCCGTCATCTTTAGTCAACCACCGATCTTTCAGCTTCTCCTCCGCTGTTCGATCTCTACGTTGTTCCGTTCCGTGGTGGAGTCACGGTGTTGATTGGAGGTCTCCGGTCAGGCTCCGTGCTCAGATCAGAGCTGTCGCTCCTGTTATCAAACAGTTGGAGAGGAAGTTCGCCACTATGGGTATCGTCACCATTTCTGGAGTTGTTTCTTCTATTCGATTAGTCAATTCTTTTTTTTTTTTTTTTCCGCAGAAAAAAAAAATGAAGTGGATTAGCATTTTCCAGCTTTTAATTCTGATTTTCGCTTTTTTACTTTTTTAGAATTGAAAGCTTTTTTTTAGCTTTATCTAGATGTGTTTAAGAGACAGCCATTGAGCCTAAAGGCTCGATTCACAATAGGGGTTCTAATTTGAAATTAATTGTTAATAATTTTAATTAATTTAATAATAAATAATTTTAAAAAAAATTTCTTTTAAGTGAGTCTATTAAGGCAGAATACCCAAATCCATTTTCAAAGTATAATAGTAGATACGGATCCATTTTCGAACAAAAAATGGGATAAATTCATCTACAAAGTTTTTGACTTGAACAAATCACCCAAAATTTAACGTGTAACGTCATCTAACATCAACAATTTATTAATTTGACGTCATCTGACTTCAGCAATCCGTTAACAACTAATGGATTGCTGATATTAGATGATGTCACACCTTACATTTGGAGTAATTTATCGAAGTTAAAAACTTTATGGGTGGATTCGTCCTTATTTTTTATTCGAAACTGGATCTATTCCTGCCACTATACTTTAAGGGTAAATTTA